TTTATTAAGGTGAAATTCACCTATCATAAAATTAACCATTTAAAGTGGATAATTTGGTGGCATTCATAAAATGAAGTAGAAAGTATTTTTTTTCCTTTTTTATTTTTTGGAGGAGATTGGCATTAATTTTTCTTGAAATGTTTGGTAGAATTCTCTAGTGAAACCTTTTGGCCAGGAGATTTTCTGTTCAGGAGACTTTTAGTTATGAATTCAGTTTTTTAAATGATTTCAGTAATACTCAAGTTATCTGTTTCATCTTGGTTGAGTTTCAGTAGTTTGTGGGTTTTGAGGAATTGGTCCATTTTTTGGTAAATTGTTCAGTTTATGAGTACTAAGTTGTTTGTAGTATTCCCTTGTTATCCTTTTGATGGCTGCAGGACCTAAAGTGATATTGTTTCATTCCTGATGTTGGAGAGATAGGTCTTCTCTCTTTTTATCTTTGTCAGTATTTCTAGAGGTGTATCTATTTTATTAATTTATTTTTTAAACCAGCTTTTTGCGTCGTTGATTTTTTTTTCCTGTTGTTTTCATTGTTACTGATTTCTGTTCTTTTATATTTCCTTCCTTCTGCTTGCTTTGGGTTTCTTTTTTTTCTTCTTTTTCTACTTTGTTGAAGTAGGAAATTAGATTACTGATTTGAGCTCTTTCTTCTTTTCTAATATAAACTTAGCACTGTCAGTTTCCCTCTCAGCATTGCTTCAGCTGTGCCCCATATATTTTGATATGTTGTACTTTCATTTTCATTCATTTCTAATGTATTTTTTAAATTTATTGTGAGATTTCCTCTTTGACTGACAAATTATTTAGAAGTGGTTCTTTAGTTTCCAAGTGTTTGGATGTTTTCCTGTTATCTTTCTGTTATTGATTTACAGTTTGATTCCATTATGGTCAGAGAACATGCTCTATGATTTTAATCCTTTAAATTTGTTGAGGTTTATTTTATGGCCCAGGTGGATATTTTTCTTGGTGGATATTCAGTGAGCACTTTAAAAAAATTTATTCTGCTCTTGTTGGATGAAGTGTTCTATATATGTATATATCAATTAGACCCTGTTGATTGATTTTACTGTTCACTTCTATATCCTTGTTGATTTTTTGTATAGAGTTCCACCCATTACTGAGATAGGGTATCAATGCCTTGAAGTATTATTGTGGCTTGGCTATGCTGGTTTCCTCATTTCATCTCTATGAGTTTTTGTTTCTTATATTTAAGGCTCTGTTGTTTGGTGCATACACATTTAGAATTGTTATGTCTTCCTGGTGGATTGATCCTTTAATCATCATGTAATGTCCCTCCTTGTTTCCAGCTATTTTCTTTGCTCTGAAGTCTACTCACTGGATAGAATATAGCCACTCTGCTTTTATTTTTAATTAATGTTTGCACGGTATATCTGTTTTCAGCCTTTTACATTCAGCCTTTGTGTTTGAAGAAAGTTTCTTACAGACGGCATATTGTTGGGTCTTTTGTTAATGCATTCTGCCATATTTTGTGTAGGTCTCAGCCTACTAATGCTGTTGCCTGGGAATGCCTGGGGGCACTTACCTGGGCCAGTGTTGTGGCTGGACCAGCCCTCGTGGTTCTTATTAGGATTGCAAGATGCACCTCAGCAACAAGCATCAGAGAACAAGCAAGGTTTTATTGCTCACAGGTCCTGACATGACATGTCTCAGGCCACACATTGAGGTCACAGGAAGAGAGATGGGTAGGGGGCTCTAGGTCATCCCTGGGCTTCTTCCTTTATTGGGGTTGAGGGTGAGGTGCCTAGGGTCTCATGGGTTCACTCTTTATTGGTGAATTTAAAACATGAGAGCGGGAATTAAAGTGCACAAAAGGAAAAGCAGGGTCACTCTAATGATCAGTTATGTAGGTCACCCACGGCTTTCTAAAAGGGGAACTTCATGGATGGTGGCCTGGTTCTTTATCTAGTTGTGTAGCTGGCAATATGTTTATTCAAGATGGATGTCTTTGGAGTGGATGCCTCAGCAATCAAAAGCTTATTATCAGGTACTTATATTACGATTTAAAAAAAAACAGTCAGGTACTTACACTACAGCCAATCTCAGTTAGTTGGTATATTTAGACCGTTTATATTAAAGGTAAATACTGATATTTTACGGCTTAAGTCTGCCACTGTGTTGTTTTCTGTATGCTTCCTCCTTTTCTCTTTTCTTACTTTTCTGTGTGTTTTTTTGAATATTTTTTATTCCATTTTAATTTATTTATAATGCCTGAGTATATCACTTTATACAGTTTGCTTAGGTGTTGCTCTAGGTATTACATTATACACACATAACTTTTCCCAGTCTAACGATATCAGTGTTTTACCAGTCCACGTGAAGTGTAGAAACTGTATTTCCATTTAGGTCCCTTTACCTTCCCCAATTTTTAAATATAATAGTATTTCCTCCACATGGGGCTACTCCATTTTGGTGAAACTGGAAGCCCATATGCTTGTCTTTTATCTGTCACCTTTACTGAATTATTCATTAGTAGTTCTTCATTACTTCTAGTAGTTGTCTTGAATTCTACATATAGTTATATCTTCCACAGAAATGACATTTTCATCCCTTTCTTTCCTGTATTTATACTTTTCATTTATTTTTATTTTATTGCCAGGCAAAAAGTTGAATCTGTTTTTTCTATTTTTCAACACCAGCAGTGACTCTGTATCTTTTCACTTTATCTATATAAAATGAGAGATTTACTTGTACTTTGCCCCTCTGCTTCTAAGGTTTTGTGATACAGTCTGGATGTTTTAAGTCTAAATTTTTATCTGACTACCCATGGTTTTCTTTTTTTTTTTTTTTTTTTTTTTTTTTCCGGTACGCGGGCCTCTCACTGTTGTGGCCTCTCCCATTGTGGAGCACAGGCTCTGGACGCGGAGGCTCAGCGGCCATGGGTCACGGGCCCAGCCACTCCGCGGCATGTGGGATCTTCCCGGACCGGGGCACGAACCTGTGTCCCCTGCATCGGCAGGCGGACTCTCAACCACTGCGCCACCAGGGAAGCCCTTCATTTTTCTATATGATCTGTCTTTAGGGCCTCTCTGACTTCAGCTCCAGCTCTCCCCCTCATTCCATCTACTCCACCAATAATGACCTTTTTGCTTTTCCTTTAGCACATCAGGGCCTGCTTCTGTCTCAGGCCTTTGCATTTGTTGTTCTCTCTGCCTGAATTGCTTAGCTTTCTCACCTTCTAAAAGGTCTTTACTGTCATGTCACATTCTCACTAAGACCTTCCCTGGTCATCCCACTAAAGTTATAATCCGTCCCCTCCTCAAATCCCCCAGTTCTCTTCCTTACTTGGTTTTCTTTTCATAGCACTTATGACCATCTAATATACTATTTTATCTGTTAGCTGGTTTATTGTCTACTTCTCTTCATTAGAATATAAGTTCCATGAAGGCAGGAGTTTTTCTTTATTTTTCTATTTTCTATTTTGTTTTATTCCTGGTACCCAGAACAGAGCCTGGCACACGCAGGTCCTCAATAAGTCTTTATTTAAATAACTAATCTTCATCTATTTAGCATTTTCCTTCTTCAAGTTAGAACTCTCAGGCCAAAGGATGTGTTTTTTTATTAATAGTTCTTTGTACCTTTTGCCATATAACTTTCTTTTTTGTTCGCTTTCTTATTTATTTATACCAGGTAATACTTTTCATATGGTTTAAAATTCAACCAGTATAACAGGGTTTGTGTTGAAGAGTATTCCTCCCTCTTCCATAGTCAAGCACCCCATTCCTCTCCTCAAAAGCAACTAGCTTGGTCACTTTCTTGATACTTCTTAAAGAGATAGTCCCATAAGGCTTTCTGAAAAGTTGACAAAATATTTTACAATTGTCTGTCCAGAACAGTTCCTGTTTCTCTTTCTATTTGCTGCTGAATCCTTCTCAATAGGCAGTGTAAATCATTTTTGAGAGGATGTTACTGTCATGCTAGGTGCTGAGGGAGTGATACAGTGAAGAATTATTTTGCCCATGCTCTTGAAGTTCAAAATCCAAATGGGGTGGGAAGGTATCCACACTTACAAAGTAACACAGGATTTAGAAAGATCAAGATGATATATATGAAATGTCATGAACATTGAATTATTAATTGTTGAATGAAATCTAAGTGACAGATACCACGAAAATTAGTTCATCAAAGCAGAGAGTGACTACATTTATCAGAGAAGAATACATTGGTTTTGGATAATCTGAGAAGAGTGTAGAAGGGAAGGAGTATATTATACCTTCTGTGTGTGTACCAACATGATATTTATATACTAGGAATATATTTTTATGCCATGAGATTTTTCGAAGAGGAATAACAAAGTCCTCATCTTGTAGAGGAGAGATTATATGTGATTATGACAAAGTCAGTGAGAGGACTTGCTGTAAAAAAGTATCACATTCAGTGGGGATTCAGAGAGAGATCATAACCATTTGGGGATCAAGAAAATGTTTATAGGGAATTCATAATCAAGACAGAGCTTGAAAGATAAGTAATAATAAGCACAAAAGGATAACACAGTGGAAGACTCTAGTACAGGGGTTGGCAAACTATAGCCCTTAGGCTGACCACCTGTTTTTGTAAGTAAAGTTTCATTGGAACATAGTCATGCTCATTGGTTTATGTATTGTCTGTGACAGCTTTCACTCTGTAGTGGCAGAGTTGAGCAGTTGAGACAGATCACATAGTCTGCAAAGCCTAATTATTTACTACTTGGTCCTTTACAGAAAGAAAATTTGCTGTTCCCTACAAGTAGATAGGCTATGGGTGGGAAAGTATTATTGCTAACTATTAAAGAAATGAAAATGATATATTTATTATAGCTGGAGGGGGAAGTCAGTAATAGAATGGTGGGTGGCTAAAGAGGAGGTTATCTTTGAAGGAATTTAATAGGAAGACCATTACTAATAGAGAGGAAGCGAAGAGTATCTCTAGGCTGGAACAGTAGTTCATGTAGACATAGATGTGGTTTGTCCTTAATCATACTTCTCTAATCTTTCCCTTGCTAGCCAAGAAGGATCAGGAAGGTGGAGAAGAAAAGAAATCTGTGCAAAAGAAAAAAGTGAAAGAGTTAAAGGTGTTGGATTCAAAGACAGCCCAGAATCTCTGTGAGTAACTCTGTGATCTCAGCAATTTGAAATATGAAGGAGTTTTTCTAAGAGCTTAATTCTCGTGGATCCAGGGTCCCTTGATATGAAACTTCCATTTGTTAGTTCCAGGCATTGCATAGTAAATACCTGATATCTAATCCCTTCAATAGCACTGCAAGATTGTTAGCATCTAGTTTTACAGCAAGAAAATAAAGGCTAATAGGACTTTTAGGAATTTGCCTAGTCACATAGCAGGTAAGAGGCAGGTCTGGGAGTTGAACCTCATATTTTCTTATTTCAAAGCCATTACCATTTCCATTGCATCCACAGAAAATCTAACACAAATGTTCTAGGCACTGCACATTTCCTTCTTTCTCATTTTCTTTTAAGTATTTCCTTTAAAGGTGGGCACTGGCTTGACTTCCATTAAATCTAAAGTAACTTTGTGGTTTAGAATAAATAATGTAAATCCTGTACTTCTCAGAGTAGGATCAAGAACTTCAAAGAGTTCTGTTCTGAACTTGCTACCTATACTCATAACTCTGATTGGTGGCAAATTTCAGATCAGAAACTCCTCTGCAGAGTTGATATAGGTAGTATTTAATGATCAGAATGAATGTTCATTTTTTTGTTCATTTCAACTGTTGGTATCCCTACTTTATGTTGCATAATGAAGATTTAAATATTTGTTCAACAAATATTTGACTGTCTGCCAGGTTTCAGGCTCTATTAGGCACATACTAGGTGTGTGTTTCAGAGATGAAAGGGTATGTATTCCATAAAGCCCATTCATGATCCAGTGACATGGCTGTTGTCCCCATTTTACCAAGTGAGAAAACTAAAGTTCAGATGTTATGACTTGGCCAAGATCACACAGGTAATGAGGACACATACCCACAAGTATAGTCAGTGATATAATGAGAACAGTAAGCCTTTACAATTCTTGACTATATAATCTTAGATCATTGGCAACAGATATTACTAAATAGTGTCTGTAGGTAAGTCCTTTTATGGAAATTAAAGTGATGTGAGATAGTTCCTCTTCTCAAGATTATCTCTAGCAACATTAAAATGAGCAATTGTTATTTTAGAAAATGATAAAAGACTGTGGGGTAGTACATTGTTATTTCCAGTTGAATGATATCAATATAGGAAACAGAATTTAGGAAGAGAATTGAGATTAGGAGGGTCTAGGTGTTATTTAGTGATTCAGTGATTATTAAGTGCCTCTTACATGGTGAGGATGCAAAACTAAGTAAGGTAGTCCCTATCCTCGTGAGCCATATGTCTGGTAGAGACAGAAAAGTAAATAATGGTTATAGCACAAGTTGGTAAGTGTCATTATGGAGGTGTGCCAGGAAGCTTATGAGAGCACTGGGCAAGGGGGCATCTAAATCAAGTGGGAGGAGGACTGGAGAGAGCTCAGGCATCCGAAATGAAGTACTACTTGAAACCGTTCACAACAAACTAAATGAAGGGTGAGGGCTGGCTTGTTTCAGGCAGAGGGGTCAGCATGTATGAAGGCACAGAGGCATGTGTGCAGTTCAAGAACTGCAAGTAGTTGAGTACAGCTGAGTAAAGGCCGTATGTGGGGGAGTGGTGGTTGAAGAAGCTTTCAAGAAATAGACATAGAGGCTAGATCATAAAGAAGTCTGATAGGCTTAGGCTAAGAAGTATGTATTTTATCCTAAAAACTGTGAAAGTTATTGGAGGGATTTTAATCAGGAAAGTGAGTGATACAACCCTATGTAATTTGGGGGAGGGCTACGTCAGCAGTGATTATGAGGCCGGATTGCTAGGGTAGGGGAAGACTCTAGGCAGAGAGATGTGTTATGTTATGGCTTTAAACTAGGCGAGAGGTGATCAAGGCCTGAAACTAAGTTGTAAGAATGAATAGGAAGAAGATACTAAGAAGATAGAATTAATGGAACTTAGTGATTGATAGAGGGGATAAAGGAGATGTTTTCTTGGGTTAAGATCACTCTATAGAGAGTGGTACCACTTATTGAAATAGGAAAATCCAGCAGGAGCAGATTCTGTCTTTTGTGGGAGAAATGGTGGACATGAGTGAGAGATGGCAGAGTGGTAGGTAGGAATGATTGATTTAATTTTAGGATAGAATTTAAGGTTCCTGTGGGAATCCTCCAACAGGATGGGTGTATTAGGCATTTGGGTATAGAAATCAGGAGGAATGTCTGGCTGGAGATAAGAATTTAAGAGATAGTATATGAGTCATAGTTGAAGCCAATAATTTGCTTTGAAGGTCATTAATATTTGGGGGGGCAAGTAACATAAAGGGGAGACTTCAAAGGAGGCTGGAAAGGAACAGCAAGAAAAATAGTCTGACATAGTCTAAGAAGTGGGAGTCGTAGTCAAGTAAAATCAGGACAGGACAAGTGTCTTTTGGATCTGCCATTAGGAAAGCCAGTGACCTAGGCAGGAATAATTTTAGTATAGCCTAAGTGTTAAGAACAGAAGCTCTGGAATCCGTTTGTATTTAAATCCTGGCTCCAACCCTTACTAGCAGTGTGACCTTGGACGGGTAGCTTAACTTCTTTAAGTATGTTTCCTTTTCTGTCAAATGTGGTTAATAATACAAACTTATACATTATTATAGATAGGGTTAAATAAGATATATATGTAGATTGTGTTTAAGATACTAGGTCTTACATGGAGTATACACTCAACAAATGATTGTCATCTTTTCACTGACTTTGTGGGGACAGAAGAATTAAGGAGAATGTGGAAGCAAGAATAGACTGTTACATTTTTAGAATGTTATAAAGTGAAGGAAAGAAGGAAGTTGGTAATTAAGAATGTTGCATCAGGGAGGATTTTTTTTTTTAAGATAGGAAAAACTTGAACGTGTATATCGTTGTCCCTCGGTATCTGTGGGGGATAGTTTCCAGAACCCCCCTCATATACCGAAATCCATGGGTGCTCAAGTCCTTTATATAAAATGGTGTAGTATAGTTGGCCCTCTGTATCCACAGATGGGGAAGGCCCACTGTATATGCTGAAGGAAAAGGTCCTTAGGGCTACCTGTTCTATTGAAACACGAGAAAAGGATGAGTATATGGATATAGTTCTGCTAAGCTTACGTAAAGAAGTGTCGGCACAAGTTTTCTTCTAGATGATTCCAAAATAGCCCTTACTCGAGCCTTTTCTAGTCTGGTTCCAACTGAGGGCCCCCAGTGCTCAGTTTATAAGTGGCATGAGAGAAAGCTTAGCAAGTAATTTGACCGATGGCTTCAATTTTTCTCAGTAAAAAGCAGCAAGGCCTTTTTAGAACAAATGGGGAAGTGGCAGGACATTTGGGAGAATGGGGATATTTTATGTGGAGGAGCTGCCAAGAGAGCCAGGAGAGCGTGGAGTAGGGACACACAGAAGGATTCCCCACCATCACCGGTGCCACTTCAGATTCGTAGAATCTGATCTGCAGTGTTCATCAGCCCAGGTGTAAGAGGAGAGATATGAGATGGCTGAGTTAACTAAGGACTGGAAGGAGAAGGAAACGAGAATAAGAATAGTAGTAATAATAGAATGGGAGTGAAAGGGTAGACTACAGGGTCTAGGTTAAACAGAGAAAGCAAAGTAGAACTGAGACATTCAGAGAAAATGGAATGGTCATCTCTCTCGTGGGAGAGAGCGAGCGCGCAGCAAGAGAGCACTCTGATGAGACTGAAGAGTCAATTTAGGGATAAGTGAGAGAGCTGAAAGGATGGGAAGTGTTTGTTGGGGAATGGGATGTGGCAATTTAAGAATCAGAGCATTTCAAGGCAGTGGCAGCTTTGAGGATGGAGTCAAGGGAGTGAGGAACTAAAATAGAACAGGGTGAACATTTTTGATGTATATATAGAGAGAGATCAAAGACTTCCTGTGTGAGCAAAGACAAGGTGTTTGTAGAATGTCGTGCTTGGAACAGTGTGGCTGGCGTGTGACATAAATGTGGGGATTCGTGGGAGGGGAAAGCGGGGAGGTGGGAACCTTAAACACTGAGCTCAGGAACTTGGAGCTTAACTATACAGGCAGTGGGGAGCTGGTGGAGGTTTCAGATCATGACTTTAAGAGAGCACTCCCAGGAAGGTTGTCCAGAGTAGGTTTGTAGGGTGGGCTGGAAGCGGGAAGAGACTGAGAAGAACATGTCTTTGTATCTCATTTCCTGGCAGCAATCTTTTTGGGTTCCTTCCGCATGCCCTATCAAGAGATTAAGAATGTCATCCTGGAGGTGAATGAGGCTGTTCTGACTGAGTCTATGATCCAGGTAAGGAGCAAGGTCGTTCTGGAGCTGGCTCTTTGCATTGCTATACACTAGCTCTGTCTCCTCTCTGCCTAGACGACGAGGACTCTGTAAGCATCGTTGACTTAAAGAATGCTGGCTTTATATAAGCTTCCATCTCTCTGGTGATCAGGTTATTTCTGGTATATTTTTCAAAAGTCCTGCCATCTCACTAGCTGCCTCCCCCACCACCCCCTGCCCCAGCCCGTGTCTCCTTCTTAGTGGTCCTTGGGCAGAGCGAGGGACTGACAGGAGGCTCAAGTTGTCAGCTCATCCCCCTCAAACTTAGACAGTCCCTTCTGTCTTGCAGAATCTCATTAAGCAGATGCCAGAGCCAGAGCAGTTAAAAATGCTTTCCGAACTGAAGGACGAATATGATGATCTGGCTGAGTCAGAGCAGTTCGGCGTGGTGGTGAGTGAGGCCTGTGGCACAGACTCTTCTCTGACCCCCGCTTCCCCGAGAGCATCCGGGGCACTTGCTCCTGGCCTCTTGTCTATTCTGAACCCATCTTTCTCTCTTTCTCCTCCCTACCCTGGAACTCAGATTCTGCCATAGGAGGCTTAAGCCTGTATCTTCTTCTTCCTTTCCTCTCTTCTCTGTTGGCTATAACGGAACTGCTTGTCTCTCCCCAGATGGGCGCTGTGCCCCGCCTGCGGCCTCGCCTCAATGCCATCCTCTTCAAGCTGCAGTTCAGTGAGCAAGTGGAGAATATCAAGCCAGAGATTGTTTCTGTCACTGCCGCATGTGAGGAGTTGCGAAAGAGCGAGAACTTCTCTAGCCTCCTGGAGATTACCTTGCTTGTTGGAAACTATATGAATGCTGGTTCCAGGAATGCTGGTGCTTTCGGCTTCAATATCAGCTTCCTCTGTAAGGTGAGCTAGGGGGTTAGAGCAGGACGTTGGAAGGGAAGGCTGTGGCCTCTAGGAGCCCAGTGTGGCAAACTGCTGTCGGCCTGAGGTGGTCGTGGGCGTGTCAGGACTCACCATTTCTCCTCTTCCCCCAAGCTTCGAGACACCAAGTCCACAGATCAGAAGATGACGTTGTTGCACTTCTTGGCTGAGTTGTGTGAGAATAACCATCCCGAGGTCCTCAAGTTTCCAGATGAGCTTGCCCACGTGGAGAAAGCCAGCCGAGGTGAGGCAGATTGGGGTGAAGCTAGAAGGCGGTTCCAAGCCCCAGAAATCTCTGCACGGGGTAGGGAAAGAAGACTCAGTCTAGATTTTAGATCATTTTCAGTTCAGACAATTTTAAGGAACGGGAGAGAGCACAGGCATGATGTCTAAGCCACAGGGAGGAGTATCGGGCAGAAGAGAGGTCTCCATGTACAGAAGTGGGAAGCACTCTTTCCCTTCTTAGGGAAACACCAGACACCAAAAAACAACTAGAAGAAAGGCAGGTATTTTTAGTTTAAGTCAACAGTTTTTCTCATTCAGAAAGCGTAGACTGGATTAGCAAAAACCAGGCCTCACCGTCCTGGGACTAGGCAAAGAAAAAGCAGCATTCAGTAGAAATGGGAACAGATTTCTGCCCACCCTCTATATTTCTGTGTAAGGTCTCCTTCCTCCCAAACCCTGTTCTCTAAAATAAATGAGACCAAGATCCCGGGGGATTTCATAGATTCTTGTTAAATTAAATGAAGCCTCTTTTCTCTTCTTAGTATTGTACAGCTTATGCAGGCTGGAGGTTTAATCATCAAGTAATTTATAGTTTCACTGAAAAGCTGTGTGAAACAATTAGAGAGCACGTGAGAGGACTAAAATAATTAAGTACCAGCTGGATGTACAGACTGGAGCAGTGCCCTGAAGAACAGAATAGGGTTTTGAGACTGGAGGTAGTAAAAGCTCTTGCTGTCTGTTTTTGTGTCTACTTTAGTTTCTGCTGAAAACTTGCAAAAGAACCTAGATCAGATGAAGAAACAGATTTCTGATGTGGAACGTGATATTCAGAATTTTCCAGCTGCCACAGATGAGAAAGACAAGTTTGTTGAAAAAATGACCATATCCTTTCTTGAAAGGAGGGAGTTGCCCCCAGGAAAAAAAAGAACTTCCCGTGGGGGGCCAACAGGATAGATACGATGATACACAATTTTTCCTTAAAAAATGGTTTTTCATTAAAAAATGTTTTTTCATTAAATGCATAGTTCTTGAAAGCATTCTCATTGTTGTGGTTTGCATCAAACCATGCAGATAAAGTAAAAGTCTCCCTTGAGACCTTGCCCTCTGCCCCATCTCCCCACCTGCCAGACACACACACCCCATACTACACACACATACATATTCCCTTCTCCCTCCCCTTCCCAAAGATAACCACTGTCACTGGACTTCTCTCTGATTTGCACCCTAATGAATGTATTTTAGTAAAAATTGCACTGTACTGCTTTAGCACTTAGTATGTTTGGCCCTGTTTCCGTAGCAGTATATGCAGAACAGTCTCTTTTTAAACTGCCACTTCCTGTTCTTTAGGAATACCGTAGTTTATGGTTTCCCATTCCCGTTTGGATGTTTAGATTGCTTCTGGGTTTTGCTGATGCGCCGTGTTGCGCATCCTTGTGCCTGCCAGTACACATCTGTGAGTCGTCCTCAGGGCTAGAGAAGTGGCTCTGCTTCCTTGTGTTGGTTCTTTACTCTGGCTGCACAGCTTTGTGAAGGATGCACAGGAACAGTATAACAAGCTGCGGATGATGCACTCTAACATGGAGACGCTCTATAAGGAGCTGGGCGAGTACTTCCTCTTTGACCCCAAGAAGGTGTCTGTGGAAGAATTCTTCATGGATCTGCACAACTTTAAGAATATGTTTGTGGTAAGCAGGGTATACCTGCCGACTGAAGCTTTCGTGGACCTTTCTCACTTTCCACTGGGTTCATGTTGGTTGGTGGTGGGTGTGTACATGTGTGAGTGCATACGTGCCCACGTGTTCATTTTCTCCCCCACAGCAAGCAGTCAAGGAGAACCAGAAGCGGCGGGAGACAGAGGAGAAGATGCGGCGAGCAAAACTGGCCAAGGAGAAGGCAGAGAAGGAGCGGCTGGAGAAGCAGCAGAAGAGAGAGCAGCTCATAGACATGAATGCTGGTAAGAAGCGAAGGCGAAGGGCCGATGGGTTGAGACAGGAACGTTTGGAAGGCTTCTCTGTCTAGAGTCTAGAGGCCAGAGAACAGCTCATGTCTGAGCTCAACTGCTGGCAAACGATTTTTGGCAGCCTTCTTCCTCCACGATCCTGATGCTGGACTTTAACCCCGACTCCGTTACATGCACGTTCCAGTGCTCGACTCTCAGTTTTTTCCCTCCTTTGCTGGTTCTGCATTATGTCTCATCTCCCCAGTGATTTAGTATTGTTGTAACATGTACTCTTGCCTTCTGCCTGTCCAAAAATTACCCCGTCCGGTTTTCATACCCTCTAGTACATCTTTTGTTCTTTTTCCCCAAACTGTTTTCCTGGCCCTGCTCCTGTCTTTTAATGGCTTGCCTTCGCTTTCTGCTTATTTCACTAAGTATTGTGTCCCCAGTACCTCAGCACAGTTGTACACACCTATCAGATTGTAAATGGATTGAACTTCTGGAAAAGGGGGCAGGGGAGCTGGCCACCCTCTTCTTTCTTCAGCAGAATCTCTATTTCACTCTCAGAAGCATGTCTTTGTTGAAACATATGGCCTCAATTACTGGCCCTCTGTTTCCTGTTTCTGCTTCTTTCCTGCTGCCGACTCCCTGCCCCTCTCTGGCTGCTCTCTCTGCGGGCAGCGGAAATCCAGCATCCATTGCACACAGCCCTGAGCTGGTGCCACCCTTCTTGAACCTGAGGGGCTACGAGCCATCTAAGTAAAGAGGTTCTCTGGGCTGCTGGGTCTGGCAAGAATCCATGCTTTGCTGAGCACGAGTGGTGAGGGCTGCTCTGACACTCCAGCTCCCGGGGACTTCTCTCTGTGGCACGATCAGGGACCTGAGGCAGCAGAACTGCCTGCATTTCTGTCTTTTCTTTATATTTTTTGGGGAAGCAGTTCCCCTGCCCTTACTCCAGTTGTATATAAGCCACAAACTTTGCTCTAGTAATGCCATTAAAAAAGCCCACACCAAGTATCCTTCACCTTCCCCCTTTCTCCCCAGGCCTCTAGGCTTTGTCCCCAGTTAATGTGTAGGACGTAATAGGGATAGGTGGAGTCCAGCTGATTTGTGGGAGTCCAGCTGATTTGAAGGCTGCACACAGTCGTCAGGCAGCGCAGGGGACCCTGCCCTGGTCCATGTTCCCAAGGGCAAGCAGATGAGGTTGGAATGTAGGGCAGCTGCACTGGTGGTGTTTGGCCAGCAGGCGGCACTGGGAGCAGTGAGCCCAGCCTTGTGGCTGGCAGCCTACGGGCTCCTAGGGATTTCACAGTTTCAGATTTCACTACCCTTAGCTGTTGCCATGGAAACGGAGTGGGCTGGAATAAGAATTCTACATTAACTCTTTGTATTCCAACCAGAAGCTCCTCTTAGATGCAGAGCTGACTTCCGGAAGATGCAGCCACTGGGGGCAGTACTTAAGTGAAATACACTCTTGATCAGTGGTCTCTCCTCTTTCCTCAGCCCTGCTCTGAAACTGAAACCAGGCTTTCCGTGAGAGGTTTATGTAAATTGGAGTGAAACACTTCAGGATAAAGAGAGAGTGATATAGTTCTTTATTAATGTCATAATCCTGGTCTCTGTACGTATCCCAGTCTTGCAGTCAAGCAGGTCTACACTTTTCTGTGCTAGTTCTGGTGGGGGTGGGAAGGGAGGAGGGCACTGCAGGAAAATTATGCAAGGTTTGCAGTGGTTGGTAACCAGTGAAACCTTTTGTTTTAACCATTTTCAAACAGACACGAGTAAACATGGGCTGTGAGACTTGAGGTTGAGCCCTCCATGTGCTCCAAGCCCCGAGAAGCTGTGGGCGCGGGCAAGCAGTTCAGTAGCAATGCATTTTTTGTGGGGCTCAACACATGAGTGCTACTCGGGCTGAAGAGCTTACATCTCTGTTTTTGTTCATGACAGAGGGCGATGAGACAGGTGTGATGGACAGTCTTCTGGAAGCCCTGCAGTCAGGCGCAGCATTCCGGCGGAAGAGAGGACCCCGTCAGGGTAAGTCAGCAAGTGGAGCCCAGCCTGTGTGTTGAAGGAAGGCAGTGAGGCCTCTCTGCTCCTGGTCCTGCTTGTCTTGGGCTAATGAGCAGGTAATGATGTTCTGAGGGTTTAGAAACTTCCCCACAATAGTCCCTGCATCTAGAGTGGATTACCTAGTCCTCTTCCAACCATGTTAGAAAGTGCTGACTTGGAGAACTAGGACTTGAGGGACTGACAACAGATATTACATTTGATTATTCTTGTATCTCTCCTCATTCTTGAAGCAGAAACGTAGAATAAGCAAACCACTGTGCGGGACACAGAGATTTGAGTAGGCGTTTGTGTATATGAACAAAAAATTTGATGTAAATTCAAAACTGTACATTAGATGTAGGAATACAAAGAAAATAAGTCAAGAGTCCTTACTCTCAGCTTCACAAGCAGGAGAGAGAGAGAGAATAGAAAGTATAGAATCCTATAGAGAGAAGGCTAGGCGTCATTCTCCCCAGATGTAAGAATGTAGAGGAGCATCTCAACCGAAGGATTGTGCTGTGTCTGAAACCTGCCTTTTTCTTGGGTGTAATTGGCCTCCACCGCACTTGCCTTCCCCGTGTACTCCCCCGCAGCCTCCTCTCCCGACCTTCAGAAGATTTAAGTGGATTATGTTGAGCCAGAGCCTCTAAGAAGAATTATGGGGATAGGAGGACAAATGATCCAGGCATTAGTATGGGGAAGGATCAACGGTTAAACTGCCTTTGAGGGAAGTATATAGTGGCCAAGAGACTGGTCCAGAAGAAGGTATGGCCAAAGCTCCTCCTCATGACCTGCGCCACTGAGTCTGGTGAAGGCCCTTTGGGGCTAGTCATGACGGCTTCTTTCCTAGGTGTTGAAGGGTGGGCATTACAGAAAGGGCAGCATTAAGAGTTTGTACTTCTGAGGTGGTTTAAGCTATGTTCCCTATTCCCTGGCTGGTGCGTTCTGTAGGCCTGTGTGATAGGAGCTTCACTTCAACGTTATTGTACAGATGAGTTGTGTGGTTTGCTTTGGACACTGCTTAGCTATTAACAGTGGTATCTGTAGGACCTGTAGTACCCGTCACAGCCTGTAAAGGTGACCTTATGATCAAGGGTATGGAGCATGTTAGCCCACACAGAGTCAGTGTCCTGGCCCAGACGTTGTAGATCACTATGAGTTTCTTCGTGAATGGCTGACTGCCTGCTTCTGCCAATACTCTGAATACCCAGAGGGAAATTCCCTCTGAGGGCTCTTCTGTAGGACTTCAGAACCTGCCCCAAACAGAAGAATCCCTCATTACAACTCTGACCTATTTCCTGGCATCCTCTGAGTACAGGCTTTCTGGAGGGGAGGAGAGGTGAGTGTGATCGACTTAGGTCTTTCTGGGATAGCGTGTTTAGTCGTGTAGATCTAGGTTTGGGCAGAGTATGAAGCAAGTGGTATTTTTGGTGTGTTTAGTCTTTAGAGATTGTTGCGACATTGTTTCCTCCCCACCATATAAGGTGATGTGGCCTGACGTTAAGCGTTTCTAGATAAACAAAAATACAGTGCCTCTTCCTATTTTCCTCTATCCTCTCAGCTAAGTGCCAACCTTCACTGGACTTTTGGTGGGGAATTCCCTTTTAAGCTTCTTCCTGTAGAACTAAACCAGAATCCCAGATGCTTCCTGGACACAGGCAGCCAGACATCAGTGGCTTCCCTCTACTGGAGAGGCCTCATTCTCCACTTCTTCCCAAGTGAGAAACCAGGACTTACAGGCCGAGGAAGCAGGGATTTTGTTAGAACCTAACCTTTCAGCAGAGGACCTGGGTCAGTCAAAGTGCTGCTTCCCAGTGCAAGAAGGACTAGGAGATTCTGAAGCAAAAAGAAGGTGAAAATGAGAACTACGTACTTTTAAAATTGGCTCCATCTTGTATCCTTATCTTTCTGGGGTCACTAAACACACCGAACATATCTGGGAGAATCAGGGGAGACATTTCTAGTTACCCTGGTAACCCCTGCAGACATTGGTACATTCATTTCCGAGAAAGTGACATGGCCTTCCATTAAACATAAACAGAAGGCCAGGCATCACAGTAGAGTGCAAAGAGCATAGGACTAGGTAGGCATCAGAAGACCCAATGTCACATCCAACTGATGCTGCCTAGATTACCTGAGACAAGTTTCTGGGACTCAATTTCTTCACGTCTAAAATGAGAGTTGGGCTAGAGTGGTCTCCAGGGCCCTTTACAGCTTTAGTATTTTTTTTTTTTTCTACCGTGACAGTAGGATTAAGAGGAGAAGAAAAGAAAGAGGCTGGACCCAGAAGGCCACATTGTAAAACTATAAAGGTTTCCCTCACTGGCTGCCGGACTTAGCTGGTCCACCCAGTGCCTGGCCGTCTCTGACTGTTCCTGCTGACTGATTTTGAGCTAAAAAACCGAAGCACTATCATGCAGGTCTGCCTCACAGCCCTCCTCCGTCCCAGGAAGGCAGCTGTCCATATTGAAAGACACAGCCTTTGCCCTGGGATTTAAAGGAATGTTTAAAAAACATCTTCTGGTCTCTGGAGACCTGAGGGAGTGACCAGTATACAAAGACCCATTGAGGGGTTGGAAGAGGAGCGTTACTATCAGGGCTGGTTCATTAAAAGTGACATGTAAACTGCTGTGATCTGCAGGGTGTGGGAGAACAATGCTTGGAGTGTCAAGGGGAAGAATCCATGTGATTGTATTAGAGCTGCTATTTCAGGCTGACGATTGAGTCAGCTTGTGGTTTTAATGACTCAACTTTATCTCCATGTCTGAATTGTGGCTCCTTATATACAGGCCATCTGCTCACTGGGATAAAAGTCGAGGAAAGAAAGAAATTCATCTCCCTCTCCCTTTCCTTCCCTCTGCCACTTCCCAGCTTCCAGCTAAGCTCTCCCTACACTGATAGAACCTTAGAGGTGGGACCAGCGCTGAAGCCCTCCAGTGATTAGCATCTCACCTTCTCGTAGGTAACAGGTCTTGAGACCCAGATAAGGTCTTGCCAAGATCTACAGAACTGGCTAATGATAGAGCCAGAACTGTAACCCACTGTTGTGAATCCAAGTCCAGGAATATTTCCACTAAGCCTATGTGAGGAGCAGGAGATGACAGCGAGCCCTCTGTGTGGGCCAGAAATGCTCTTTCATACCTTCCAGCAAGGAGAGCCCTGGACATGGTGAAATTGCTTCAGGGAGTTTTCCAGCGACCACCTGTCTAGAGAGGTTAAGAGTATATCCTCTACCACCACTATTTCTCCCTCCACTTCTGTAAAAATAGGACAGGAATTATAATTAGGAGTGTTGTAGACAATAATGAGTTCTTTAGGATGGTAATGATTGCCCCATCTGTCCTAGTTTCCTCTTCCCTAAGGAAGCTTATTAACAAGAGTACTTCCTCCTTAGTAGTAGTTCCTAGCCTGTGTGTTATAAATATCTTTTTTCCAAATCATTAACCTTTTTCTAATTCATCCATACTAGTGTTACATGTCTGATTTCGCTGGTGTTTTTATCTAGCTCACCCCTAACTTCTAGAAATCTGGCCTCAGAGAGCTTTGGCCAATGTTTCAAGATTGTTCCCTTTTCCCCACAGTCTGTGGGACTACTAGGAGTTAATAATCCTCCCTGGTCCCGTAGAATCAAAATATGTTATCTGCTTCTGTGGCTACTTTTCATCGTCGTAACAAGTACCCAAGTTAGGGAAAGGCTGGGAGAGGTTGTCTCCTGCATAGTCAAGCTGTTCAGCATAACTGTGGCCCTGAAGCCAGAGTGGCAGCCAGGATTCCTCGATTCTCTTCCCAGTTCCAACGAGAGTTTTTCTCTTTTCTGATTCTGACCTTAGGCCACATCAGGTCCATGCCTAGTATACCTACCTTCTAGGCTTAAAAGGGAAATTCTGGTCTTTCCTGACTTACCATCCACTCAGGTTTTATGCAATCTGCAATGCATCAGAAGCTTTTTGAATCTAGGAAAATACAGAGACGTGCTTGATTAGGTACAACTGGTATCTTCTCAGTTTTAGAGGAAGAAACCAAAGAGAGAAACAGCTGAAGACACTTCACACTTGTACTTTGACTTTTCCCATGTTGTCCAAGACAGGTGTTCCTGAAGACCCAGTGTTCCTTTTCCCTGGGTCCAGAGTCAGAAATTATTTTAACATATACTTACCCCTTGAGTCACACACACACAAATATAGTTGGAATATTTTCTCACCTGCTCCTGACTGAATTCAAAGGAGCAGCAAAGTGATAATCAAGCCACTGCCTCTTCTGGACATGACAAGTAGGGTCCTAGAGAAGGGAGCATTCCAGAAAAAGAGCAGAAACTCAGCAGGTCTGAGGAAGATTTTGCTGGAGATAGGAGACCATCTTAGTCGCACTCCTACGCACCCCTTTCCTCCCCCGTCCGTCGCTGAGGCATCACCACACGTTCATAATCCGAGGAGTGGTTTGTGTGAAACCCTATAGTCTTGGTCACACACCTTCCCCCGTAACCAGATGAGCCCTGTGCCTGCCAGCCAGGGTCTTCACTATTCTTTCTCCTCTTGGTAGACAATCCTGCGTGTCCCTGGGAGGAGGAGGAGGAGACCTGTAAATTGGTAACCTGTGGACGTGCTGTGTGCTTCCAGCTGACCCGCGGGTAGCCTCTGCCGTGTGAACACAGTGGCTCTGGGTCATGTTTCTGCAGAGGCTGACAGCCCTGGTGAAGACCTGGGCCCTCTGACCCTGTCTGGCTTCCGTCCCAGCCAAAGCTTTTTGCTGGTCTCAAGAAGGCAAAGTGGACACTTTGTTCACTGACCCTTCTGGACCTCTTCCTTCCTGCTCGTGCCCTGCCGCTGCCCTGTCCTGCATTTAGGAGTGCTGGCCTTCTCTCCTCTGTCTCTGCTTCTTTAAGGTTTAGGCACTGCTTTCTCCACCCAGCTTTCCCATGACCCAGCAAGCTGTTTTGTTTTTTGTTTGTTTTTTAATTGGATATAAATCACATACCTAAAATTCACCCTTCTAAAGTATACAATTTACTGGGTTTTTTTAGCATATTCACAAGGTTGTACAACCAGCACCACTAATTCCAGAACATTTCATGACCCTAAAAAGAAACCCCATACCCATTCTCCCCACGCCTAGGCCTGGCAACCACAAACCTACTTTTGTCTCTGGATTTGTCCATCCTAGAGATTTTACAGAAATGGAATTATGGCATCTGTGGCCTTTGTGTCCGGCTTCTTTCACCCCTGGCAGGCAGCTCTTTGGGACCTGCAGTCTCTCTGCACTGCTTGTAGGGCATGGGAAGAGGCAGAGAGCATGAGATGGGCATGGTCCCAAGGAACGGCTTTCTTGTTGAGGATACTGGGACCATAAATGTGGATTCCATGAATGAATATGAGTCTTGGGGATGACGCCCAGGAGTTAGGACAGTTAGGACAGAAACTCATGGGCTGATTGGTTCTTCTCTTCCTGTTTAGGGTGGCAACAGAAGCTTCACTACCCCTTAGCCCATTGGGCTAAGATTTCTTTGTAGGGTTCGTCCTGGCCATCCTTGACCCCAGCTCTGCTTTCCCTGACATACCTTTCACTACCCCTCCCCCTACACACACCCACACACACATATTGCACACCTTGTAGAGCCCTTGGCATTTGGATCATCGCTGCTGCCCTTGAAGAGGTGGAAAAGAGCTCAGCGTGTGGGCACGGCGAGAGAGAGGGAGGGTTGGTGGAACCCAGGCGAGTGTGGCATCATGTGACGTCAGTGCATGGCTGCAGCTCCTCTTTGCAGGAGTCCCTCTGGCCGCCTGCTAAAGGCCTTCCTCTGCTTGGGACAACCCTGCCCAGGGCTGACTGAAAGTGATTTTGGCCTAGGAGCTTCCTGAGAACTGCCAAGAAAACAAAAACAATACTGTTTACTAAGCTTGAGCCTGTTTACTTCCAACAACCCTCTGATGAGAAAACAGATTTTGAGTACTTCTCTCTTTACATTACACTGCTGATACTTGAACTCCGTTGTGTCTGTCTAGCTGTATTCAAACTTCTTATACTGCTTTTCACGCAGGAACTCAAGAGCTTGCTCTCCTACCTGTACCGTACTCTCATATTCCCTGCTTGCCCCCCTCCCCGCCGCAAAGGTATCTCCCATGTGTTCCTGGCTTTCTTCCCCTCCTTCTTCAAAAGAAGGGCCTCTGAACTGGACAGGGCCGCCATGTGTGCATGGCTTCTGGCCGAGTATCTGCCGTAGAGATCGATAGGGATTCGAAACTGGCCTTCCATGGATGAGATCTCTCATGTCTTCTCTTGCAGGCAACAGGAAGGTCGGGTGTGCAGCCATGTCTCAGCTAGAATCAGTGCTGACCAGGGACGATGCCATGACCTGTGTTCCTGCCAAGATGTCCAAGAGCGAGGAAGTCCCCACCATCCTTGAGGAGGCCAAGGAGTTGCTCGGCCGGGCAAGCTAAGCCAGGTCCTGGGGCCATGGCAGCTCCTCAGTGGAGCTCCAGACTGTCCCTGCCCTGCAGCGTGTGGGTGAAGGGTCACAGAGATATTCCTCTGCGGTGGCCACTCCCATCACCTTGACCCCATCTTTGTCTCCAGCCTGCTGCTCTCTGTACATCACACACAGCTTCAGCTGCCTGGAGGCCAGAAGGAAAGGGCAGGGTGGGGAGGCCTGAGGCCAACCCGGCCAGCCCTGGCTCTCGTATTACCAAAGCAGGCTCTGTGTTTGCTGCCTTAACCCCAAGTGTCTCCTCCGTTCTCCGTGGCCTCATCTCAGACAAGGCCCCACCTGCTTTCTCAGCCTCTACCTTTCCCGTGGGCTTTTGCCTAGGTCAGTCTTGCTGGGTTTATGCTTTTCTTTTGTGTTTTCTCTGGCCCTGAGAACAGCATGGGCTGATGAACCTTTGGGCTCTGTCCCTCCTTTCATTGCTGTCACCACCACCCCGCCTCCCTGCTCCTCCTGCCCCTGGCTCTTGTTATTACTAGGGGTGTGGCATTGGGAGCTGCTTCCAAGGAAGTGGGGAGCAAATCCCCCTTATCCCACTTTTTGGGAAAGGCCTCCCAAAACAAAAAGAACCTGGACCACTTTTATCTGTTCTCCTGTGGCCTAGGCCAGAGCCTAGGGCGGGCAGGCATGGCACAGGTGGGACCTGCCCCCAGCCTGCTGCCATGCTCTGTGCCCTTGCCTCTCTGGACCCTCTGCACCAGCCCTAGGCTACTGAGCCACAGGCCCTTCTCACGCCCTCCCTAGAGCTTTGGTGCATCTCATCCCAACACCTTATCCTCTGTCTCCAGGGAGATGGGAGGTGGAGCCTCCTGGCTGAGAAATTGTTTTGCTAAAGGATCTATTTTTATATGAATTTTTTTTTTTTTTTAAGAAAAATAACTCTTCCTTCCTCCTTTCCCCTCCATAATATAAGAGGCTTTGATGGCAGGTTCCAGAGTCCCTGGGATCTCTCCCCACAAGCCTCAATTCTGAACAAGCCCCTGGACCTCCACCCTCAGCCCTCAAGCCTCTGGGCCCTTGAGGCCAGTGCAGACTCTCTCTCCCAGCATCTGACTCTGGGGCAAGGGGAAGCTCTCCTCTTGTTGAGCTGGACCAGGCCTAAGAGTAGTGGGAGCTCTGAAACGACAGAGTTTTTATAAATTTAATATATTTATCAAGCCAAATGTGCAAATGCTAACTGGCCACTCTGGAGCAGTGCGCACAGGCTGTGCCCCACCCTGCTCTCTTCTCTGCGGTGGGCAGGCCAGACTCTTTGGCGGTCCCAGCCACAGGAAGCTCAGATTCTCCGGTCAAGGTGACGCTTTGCCCTCCTGTGCTCCCTTCAGCTTCCCACCCCTGGGAGAGAGAATGGCACTGGTAGGACCTGGCGCAAAAGTATAGTTATTAGAGCAAGGGGGAGCTTAGGAGACCTAAGGGCGCCTGCAGGGAGGCCTTGAGGCCCGGAAGGAGGGTTCTGGTTGTTGGAGCCTGTGTGTGGAGGGGCAGCAGCAGCTCCTTTGCACTGTTTCTGGGAGGACCGCGGTGCAGGGGCCTGCTGCTTCCCTAGGTCCCTCCTCCCTGCTGACATCTGGGGCTTTGACCCTTTCTTTTTTAATCTACTTTTGCTAAGATGCATTTAATAATAATAAAAAAGGGACAAAATGCAAACCTGTTCCCCTCACCTCTTGGGCTTCTGGGATGTCATCACCTCCAGTTTGTTGGGTTTGTTTCCAACTGTTAATAAAGCATTGAAACAGTACTGCCTTACAGCTTCATTTGTGAATTTCTCAACTGTTTGTCTCCACTCTCATCCAGGCTTCTCCACTCTCATCCAGGCTTCTCCACTCTTGTCCTGCCTCAAGCCCGACTGACCTGACAAAATCATCAAAAGGGTGCCGGCACCTTCAAGGTGCCAGACGCTACGATTGGGCGCAGGGCTAGAACTGATTCATACATAGTGGCTTCTGTCCCGCCATTTGCCCTCTGTAAAGGAGTAGGGCCCCAGTTCAGCCCCCTACCCTTCCACATTGCTGCCTCTTGCCTTGGAACCCTTTTCTTGGATTCAGTTCTGGGACCCCCACCTCCCCATGACCCCAGACTTAACATGCAGTTTCCTGGCAGTACCTGTGCCTCTTTTGCTAAGGGAAACCTACGACTGCCATTCTGCCATTCTCTCGTATTCCCCTCCCACACTCACTTTTGGTGTCCACAGACCACATTCCAGGCTAGGGCTTACCCTGGGGTGGAAACCTGAGCCTGCCCAGCAGAGGTCAAAAGACAGAGGTCATGCTCCAGGTGACTTGATGCTCAGAGCCCAGACTTGTTTGAGCACATTGTGACCTGCACAAAGAAATCTTACAAACCAGGTCCAGAACAGACAGGGAAAGGCTTGGAGAGGAACCACAAACCCATTTGGGCAGTCTCCGCAACTGGAAATAAAAGCCTCTTAAGTAACCCTGGAGCCTGTGCAGCTGTCTCCATCGTATGGCTGGGGATGCGGAGGTGGGTTCTCTGCCTCCTTCTTCCCCACCCCCAGAGGCCACGCGTTTCTGGCTTAGAGCTGTATAGGCACACATACCAATTAGGGGACCGACCAACCACAGCTGCTCACGCGCTCTGCCAGTCTCCTGCCGTGCCTGGAATAGAACCCAGGCGACCGGCACCCCACCCTCTGCAGCCTGGCTCTCAGAAACAAAACCCCGCTTCCATCTCAGCAACCACGCACACCACCCTTCCTCCCACGCAAGAAAGCCGCCCCCAGACGCCTACCTAGTTGGAAGGCTTGGTTTCCATGACAACAGACTTCAGAAGCTGGGAGACCGCTTGACCGGCTCTGGGAGAGTACAGAGGACGCCCAGAGACAGCCACCCCCAACCCTGCGGTTGGGCATGCCCTTGCCCTCATCGACCCCCCTGAAAACCCCAATGGGTCTGTCTTTATGTCCTTCCGCCCCTTCCTCCCACTCTGTTGCCTGCAGCTTCTTTGGCGGCAGCAACCTCGAATCCCTCCTTGCTTCCAGGAGGCTGGAGGCGAGAAGTGAATGGAAAGCACAGAGAGAGGGAGAGAGGAAGGGAGGGCATCTGCGCCTGCGGGCAATCTTATATCTGTCTTGCCCTTTCTGTCCCCTTGACACCGCCCGCCTCCCCCCCCACCCCCGTACACATGCATTCCAAGCCCCCTGGGAGGGAGGGTGGGGGAGGTGAGGGGTGTGGAGGAGGACTGGCAGAGGAGAGTCCACCCTCCTCCCCTGGCAGGGCGCTCGGGGTGGTCATTTTAGCAGGGAAGGGGCGGAACTCAGGAAACGTCCACGGCCCCTCTCCAGCTCTATTTGCCAGCCCGCGCCGCCCCCTCGCCTGGGTCTCCTCTTCTGCCTGGAGACGGCAGCGAACAGACAACGGAACCCGCCGCCGCACGCTGCCACGTAGCGCTCAGAAATCCCCTCCCCCACAGCGGACCCACAAGCCGATTACACACACGGGGTACAGATCCACAAGCACCGTTACGGTCAACGCACACCATTATATATGCACGACGGTGTTGCCGCATTTAACAATTATACACAGACTCTCGGGCACTGACCCAAAACCAACACGCAACACAATAATCGCCTCCGATCCCGCTCGTCTTCCAGCATACAACTGTGAGCTCATCACTTCATCCACACACGCCAGGAGCCCCCATCTCTTACATAGAAACGGTGAACCTTTCAGAAGAAATCTTTTAATTTTTTTCAAAGAAAAAAAGCCATATAAATATTAGAGTATAAAACTTGCGTGAGACACAGGAAGGGGGTGGGGTGGGGAGCTACGTGACTATGCAAAGAGAAGCGCTTAGAGGAGTCAGGACGCGGGAGGGGGTCGCCGGAGCGCGTGGACACAGCACAAAACACAGCACGGGCCGCCGCAGGCAGATTCGGGGACAGACGGCTGCGTGGAGCCCGCCGCCCGCGGCCCACTCGCCATTACGGAAAAGCACGCCGCACTACACACTACTGGCTATTCTACACCAGCCGAAAGGGGGGGGGGCTCTACACCACTGCAAGGGCCGGGTGGGGTTCTCGCGAAGCCCCGCTGCGTGAACGGGACGCCGGGGGCAGAAGGGGTGGACAGAGGAAGATCTATGCACAAGGAGGCACTGGGGAACTTTAACCAGGCTCTGGCCACGAGGGATCGGACTGGGGGCCTGGGCAGTGGCCTTCACAGAGATGAAATGGCACCTGTCGAGGTGAAGGACTGGGGTTGCTGGATGCAGGGGCCCTGCGGAGAAGCAAGCCCTGATCCTGGGCTGACACTTTCCACTTGGTCCCTGCTCTAGCTCCTTTCCTTCCCAACCCAGGGACCAAAAAGGGTCTAGCTGGCCCTCCCTTCCTGCTGGGGCCACACTGATCCTTCCACCAGCAGCACCTCTGGAGTACCCAGCACCCACAGAGGCCCCTCTGACCTCTCCAGGGGACCTGGTCCCAAACCTGCTCAGAGCTTCCTTGGACCATAATGCCAGTTTAAATCCATTGGTGCCTGTAGCTCAGCCCACCGCTGGCTGCCTGGGCTGCCCTGTATATGATAGATGAGGGTCCAGCCTGGTGCTTGGCTTATGGCTGGAATTTGGGGATCTGGTCAGTACCCTGGGGGCATACAGAGCCTCCAGCAAGACCCTGTTAACTGATGGATCAAGCTTTGTCCGTCCCCCCATACACACACACACAGACACACACACACACCCTTCCCTTCTTTATCTTACCACCCCATACTGTCTTAGAACATGCAGTGAAGTCTCTTGTTTGGGGAGGGGGAAGTCACAGCATGCAGTGGGAACATCAAACAATGAAAACCAAAAGACTGGTCCCCAGGGTGTTGGGAAGAGGCATGGTAGCAAAATGCCCTCCCTAAATCCAGCAAGCATCAGTACCATGGGAATGGTGACCATATCTCCCAAAACTTGAGCTTGGTCTCAGGTCCTGGAAGGAGGTGAAGGGATTGGCACCAAACCATGCTTTGGGGGAAGTCTGAGAATTGAAGGAGAGGCCAAGAGGTCATGATGCCCTTCCAACTCTTCAGAACTATGAGCCTTTTTAGGTCACCAGGTACCTCAACACCCCCAAACAACTTAAGAAAGAGGAGCTGTTGAGGAGGAGGGTGGGGTGGGTCGGGTAGGAGGGAGGCAGGGGATGGATGGGCCCGATTGAATTTGGAAGATGGAGGAGTTCAGCTGTAACTGAAAGGGGTGTGATAAATGGTGTCTACACTAACCCACTACCCCCATGGGCACAGCAATTGATTGGATGGGGGTTCCCAGCAGAACTCCCTTTGCATATTCAATCCCCTGGGGGCAGAGGGGGGGTGTTGACTGGGCACTTGTTTCTGTTTCCCAAGGGGAGCATGGCCTGGGCCCCTACCAGTATCCTGGGGGTGAGCCCTGAAAATCCGAGGCCTGGGCACAGGTAGGGAGAGGCTGGGCTGGTTGGGGAGGGAGGCCGCCCTGTGGCTACAAGGCCTGGCCTCCGCATTACTTCTTCTCCTTCTTGCCCGACTTCTTCTTGTTGCCGTTGCCACCTGCCGGGGCCTTGCCATCTCGCTTGCCAGCTGCGTTGGTCAGAGTGGCATTGCTGCCGGGGATGTAGACGTTCTGGCGGTAGTCGGGCACGTGCTGCAGGGTGAACTGGGGTCCGTAGCGGGCACTCAAGCCCATGGTGCCGGCACTCCCTCCCAGGGTGGAGCTCCCATCAGCGGCTTCTGCAGAGACAAGGGAAGGTCAGGGGCTAAACTTCAGGGTCCCCAACAGTTACTCTCTTATAGCACAAGCAGTTATAGCACTGGACACACCATCCCACCCACAAAGGGGTAGGGCTAAGAGGCTCTAGCGTGACCACCTAGGTTTCATTCCTAGTTCTTTTACCTAGTCAACTGTGATCCTAGTCAAGTGTACCTAACCTCCCTATGTCTCCTCAGTTTCCTGAACTGCAAAATGGGGATAATAATAGTACCTATCTCTTCCGGTTTTCGCGAAGGCTAACCAAGATTACATATGTAAAGCATGTAGACTAGTGACTTCAAACATGCTAGCTGTCATTTCTCTCAGGGCTGAGACACTGCTCTCAAGTCCTTGCCCTAGCCCTTCTCCAAGCAGCCTCTCTGGTCTCCACACTAGACCACAGACTCCTGGGCGGCCAAGACCATGGTTCGTGCAGGTTCCCATCCTGTTCCACCCAGTGCCAAGCACAGACCGGGCATTGAGTTGTTCTCTTATGAGTTAGGAGTAGGTGCTTTTCCAGGGATTCATTTCGTAACAGCAACCAGTGCCTACTGTGTGCCAAGCACCTTGCTAGATGTTGCACATGCATGACGGCTTTTTACCTCAACTCAACACTCCAGGGACGTGTGTGCTCTTATCCCCTCTTTACAGATGAGAGAAGCAAGGGTCAGAGAAGGTAAAAGACTAGCCCAAGGCCTACGAGCCAGGACAGGTGAGAGCAGGGGTGAGGCCTAAGTGTATCTTAAGTGTATGCTGTAGGGTATGGTCACCACCACCACCACCACCAGAGGCCTGCACCTCATCGCTGCTCTGAGGATACAGGAGGGGGAGAGAGGCTGAGAAGATGATGATCCCAGGACCAGATGTCTTAGGTACAATGTAGGCACAGGCTCACAATGTCAGAGTAGGTGACATCAGAGAGAGCCTGTAGCCCAACTTCCTATCCTGCACAAGAAGAAACTGGGGTCCAGAGAAGTGCAAATTCTGACTCTGGCTCAGTGTCACCTGGGA